ACCAACGCCAGGGGGATATATAGGTCATCCATAAGAGATGGCATTGCTCAATTTTGTGACTTGTGTTTGTGAATTTGCACGCAAGATTCTAAAATTGAATAGAAGATACCAAACATGAATCATATTACAAGACAAAACACAAAGCATCTGAACCTCCCTCTCATTGATTTTTAAGACATCTGTAATTCTGTGGTGATGATCATACTGATTTGCTTTTCACCATAGCAGCGCTGAAAATAAAAATAAAATATTTCTAGCAGTTGGTGGATTGTTTTACTTGTTAAATCAATAGAATTCGTGAAAATATTATTGACGTAATTGTGTGTGTGATGTTGGTTTTGGAGACACGTGAGACGCTCTTCTTGTTGTGAAACAAAAAAACAACAATACATGTATAAAATTTAATCCCAAATGATTACTGGAATTATGGAGGCAAAACCTGGCCTGGTACCTCATTGATTTGTTTGTCAGCAGAAAGCCAATATCCGGACCGTAACAGATACAATGATAGTTGGTAACAAAACACGTTGTGTGCATTTTATAGCAAGCTTGATGCGAACTAGACCGTCGCCATTGCTTTACTGATCATACAAGGGGTTATATTTACAATACATGTTCGATATTTATTAAAAATGACAGTACGCTGCAATTAGATACATGCTTTAATGACCACTGGGGCACACCATAATGTTGTCAGAATCTCTGATATGTTGAAGATTATTTTCAATCATCTTGTTGTGCTATGACGTCAGATGGCTGTTCTGGTTCGGTACAGGCTAAAGACACTCACATATTAATGCCATTGATGCAATTATCGACTAGGTTCTCCACTTGGTATGTGTTCATTGTTATCGACATCTGAAGGTAGATGTTGACACGACTGAATTCACGAGTCACCAGGGAGACATTTGTCGTTGTATTGATCGTTCACAAGCAAACCGGGACTCATCGGTAAGGCAGGAATACAAGCATTGAGTCTCCATGAGACATCACAAAACACTAATACTGCACATGTTAGGAGCCTAACACACGTTAAACAATCGGATAGACCTTCACTATCACACACCCTCAGAACAAGGAGGTTAAAACCCTCCGGGTTTTTCATTATAGATGAGGCCAGCTTAACATTAGCCCAGTTTGTTTATACTAATGCAATTATTGTGATTCGTAGTCGGAGTTTAATGATAAGCTATTCTATAAATCAAAATGTAAAACAGATTGTGAAGTTTCATGCAGGGAATACGTTGAAAACAGAATTCGTTGCAAACATAAGACACACATGTAAGGTGCACGATCAAACCCTAATATTTATTGAGCAGATGGTTCAGCACATTCTAATCGATAAGTAATCCTTCAGTTAAGTAATATCTTCTAAAAGTATTTACTGCCCATTTTTTGTTGTTGTTGTTAATTTCACTCAGCAATGTTCCAGCGATATGACAGCAGATGGGGCCATGACATGAGGTCGCAAATTCTTCAGCCAGGAGAACGAAAGATGAATAGAACAGTCTATTATAAACACAAAGTTACATTTAAAATATTTTCATACACACATTTTAATTTTACAATATAAAGTACAATATATAATAAGGGCTACGATATAAGCCACTAGCAACAACAGGACCTTACATAAATGTCAAGGCTTCCAAGAGGATGTTTTCCTTTCCAGTCAGCAATCCTCTGACGGACACGCCATGTACCAGACACAATAACGCTATTATATGTCACAATTTCAGTCAAGTAAGTTGGCCGATACTCAATGAATCATACTCGATTATTATCACCACTGTCCACGTTAACGTACATAATTCCATAACTGCCCTCCCACATTTCCCTCCCATGAAAATGCCTACATATTATTGCAACATTATATTGGTACAGAAGAACACAATTGTAACCTGAATGTTATGTGTTCATGAAGACCTATGTTTTTTGTGACAGTGATATGATAGACCCAGAAAATGTGCGAAACTACTACACTGTTGCATCTTTATTATCATTTAATGACAACAAAAGGAAAGTTTACAAATCGCTAAGAGATTTACATTGCCTTCTATCAATATATATAACTATGATGTCACTAAATTGCATCAGTGTCTCTATGTATCTTTTGAAACATTAATAAATATCGTCTTCCAACAAATGATGAAAGTCGATCGCTGAGGAATGGCAATGAAAGTATATCGTGACATATACTTATCGCTTATTTTATGATAATATGTATACTGGGAGGATGGGATTCGACTAAAACACATACATAGAACTATGGAATATAACATCCGGCCAGATATGGCCTACGTGACACTTAACCTAAAACCATAATAAAAATCATATATCTAAATACGCGAAAGTAACACATATAGCTGCACAGTGCCTAATGTTAACCTTATTAAAGTGAGTGAGTTTAGTTGTACGCCGCACTCAGCAATATTCCAGCTATATGCCGGCGGTCTGTAAATAATCGAGTCTGGACCAGACAATCCAGTGATCAACAGCATGACCATCGATCTGCGCAATTGGGAACCGATGACATGTGTCAACCAAGCCAGCGAGCCTGACCACCCGATCCCGTCATTCGCCTCTTACGACAAGCATGGGTTACTGAAGGTACATTCTAACCCGGACCTCCACGGGTCACCTGATTAAAGAAGTTCGTTAATACATGTACATGTGCCCGCACAAAGACCTCCACACAAAGACGATATACCAAACAGCAAAAGAAACGCAAGTCTGGCTTTTTGTCAAGTTTATGAATAGAAGACAACCAAAATCATGTCTTATCATTTATTCTATAGACTACACTGTCAATTTAACAGCTGAAAGTTGCTGTTGACATTGAATTGCAATAAGTTCAAATTGATCACAGTCCGTCAAATGGAGATACCCCTGAACGCGAAAAGTGACAGTCTCTTTAGTCGCGTGTATGGCCACCTTGAGCTTGCACACAGGCCGTGCAACGTGGCCTCATTGAGTTCATTAGAGTCTGAAAGAATGCCTGAGGCAATTGGTTCCGCTCAAACACCAATCTCTATTCCAATTGTGCAAGTGTGAGTGGCTGTCTACCTGCACCAATCCTCCGTCCAATTTCGTCCCAGAATGTTCAATGGGAGCCATATACGGGGAAAGAGACGGCCATGGAAAAACGTTAATGTTGTTTTGAGCCAGATAATCCATCGACACCCTTGTTGTGTGAGGGCTGCAAACGTCGCTGGCGTTGTTGGCGTGTCAAAATTGGCCCCACATATGGCCTTCGGCAGTGGATTCCAGCAGCCCGAAGACGACGCCAAATCGTATCGCTGGACACTGCTCCCCTTGACCCATGAACTAAGGCTGCTGTTACTGTTGGTGCTTGAGTTCGGTTCCTTAGATGAGTGACCCGGATGAACCGATCTTGCGCATGAGGTGTCACTCGTTGCCGTCCGGTACGGGGACGATCAGCAGCAACCGCGGTTTGCTGATGACGTTGAGCAAGTCGTGTAATGGTGGTAAGATGACAGCCCAATTGTCTAGCTACAGCGGTTGCAGAGCTACCTCCGTGCAACTTTCCGGTGGCCATTCCTCTCTGCTCAGTCGTTAGTCTAGGCATCGTTTGTGTTGCGTGTACATCTCCTAGTGTCAATAATGAACTGTTTTTTGACACAAACCTTTCTAAAGGATACCTCAGAGTGAAATGCATGCTTTTCATCCAGAACCGTCGATGCACGTCTTAACATTATGGTTTTGCTGCACTGTTGGTGTGTTTGTGCGAATGGTGCGAATGGTTCGTATGGACGTCAAATTGCATGACATCATCTCATCTTGGATCATTACGTCACTTTACCATGAACGTTCCATAAACATGAACGCTTACCTTCATGAGGTTTCATTTCTTCGAAACTTGCGTTTCTTTTGCTGTAAGTATATAGTATATATATATCTCTCTCACACACACACACACACACACACACACACACACTCCTCACTCACTCACTCACTCACTCACTCACTCACTCACTCACTCACTCACTCACTCACAAACAAACAAACAAACCAACACACACGTGCGCGCGCAAATCACAAACACAAATTATTGAATATCACGTTTCATATGTTATCTTCAGAGATGTTGCCAACGTCATTTTGTCATAACTGAAAGAAAAATCAATGTGTCACGATCGCTCTACATGCCACCAGCCTGTATCACACATCGATTAGGTCGTACAAAACACCGCGGTAAGGCTACCCGACTAGCAGAGCGAGGCTTGCACCATCGATCCAGCACCGATATCTACTTATTTGGTTTAAACTCGTGAATATTAACACTAGATGTGTCAAGTGATGGCAGAGGTAAACGTTTTTTAGCGTCCATAACGTGATGTAAATTCAAGGGCATGTTGTTTGTTAAATCTCTCCATCAGTACAGTTACCTCACATGTTGCTATTGCTGTAAATGGTTCTCACAAACATCACGGTCCTGAGAAAATCATTAACTAACCACCTAACATTAAGTAACTATAATGTAGTTATAGAGTTAATAACTTGACCAATACGTCTTTATCAAATAAACTGTCCCAACAGTGGAATTACTACTAAAACAGGATACAACAGTTTGTGTTGGTTGCACGTTTACAGGAGACAAAGAGTCAAATCACCTTGCCCATTTTAAACGTAAGTATATTACGTAAGTCATTTAAGGGTGGTATGTTGTCACTGATTACTTACGGGAACTCCACACAATTTACACAGTACCCGTTCCTCGCAATGTGCAACAATATTCTCCGTACAAGTGGCCTTGTCACAGAGACTGTGTTAGTGAGAAAGGGTTAATGGTAGGCAAGAAAACATTGTACACGCGACTGAGAGAGACAGGTCGGTCTTTGTCGACATAGGACGTGAAGCTGTCGCCATACATCAGCCGGAAAACATAAAACCGTAAGTCGACCACATCGGAACTATTTAAAATATTTACATCCTTATTGTTACATATCCTCTCTAATGTTTCCAATGTTTTATTGATATGAGATGCCATTCGGGGATGTCCTTAGTTATAGCCAGTAACTAATTCAGTTTGGTGAAGTAAGGTGTAACAAACTGTTTCTAGGAAAGATGGTTACTTTGAAGATTCACCTTCGAGTTGTGGGTAAGATTTTTACTGTTACCTTTAAGGACTTTAATTAGGGAACACTGACGTTATTCCGAAAACAGAGCTATTTAAGGGTTTTGAGTTTTCTACATGATGCTTGTACTCCTCTCTGTGTGTCTTATTGTTCTTTAAGAGATATCCATTTACAAGAACGGTTTTCACACGAAACACGATAAATATAAAAGACATATAAGATTTTCTAAAGATGTTTCCCGTGCTTCAAAATGGCCGACATATGCTTGACAAGACAAGCCACATACACATTGGTTTGCTTAACTTTCAATAGAGTAAGATGTTGAGAGCCATGGATAAGAGGAATTGGACGTTAACTGATCAACGTAACACTGACTGACTGACTGAGTTTGGTTTTACGCCGCTTTTAGCAATATTCCAGCAACATCACGGCGGGGGACACCAGAAATGGGCTTCACACATTGTGCCCATGTGGGGATTCGAACCCTGGTCTTCGGCGTGACTAGCCAACGCTTTAACCATTAGGCTACCCCACCGCCCGATCAACGTAACACGGGGTTGGGGGGAAGGAGAGTTGAATGGAGGGTGTAGTTTGATTCTTAGTGGGGATAGCAGACTAAACTGCAGATAGCCTAGGGAAAGGTGACAAAATTACGCTCTAGGTATCCCTGGAAGAGTAACTAAGCTGTTGGTGTTTTGCGACAAGCTGTTGGTGTTTTGCGACAATTGTGATGGTATGCGTTCCTGGTAACAAAACAGAGTATTCTGGGAGAACGCAGTGTAGGTATCATGAGCGAAATTGGAAATATTGTAGATATTTTGGGAATAAACTGGCAATGGATAATTTGAAGTGAAACAAATGACAAAAAAAAGAATAGTTAGCCTACTATATACAATACTCCCATTGAAAATAGGGAAACTTCCTGAAACACCTTTATTCAAGGATCCTGTAATCGGTCTGGTAATTGGTATAGTGGTACAAAGAAATTAACGCAAAGCAGAAAAGATTCACAAAGACAGTAGCGAATCACCGGAGAGTGGCATCAAAACAAAGTTCCCATGACCTGTCAATCGCGTTAATAGACGAGAGGAACTTCAACAGTCAGAATGTAACGAATCAGATAAAAAAATGTCGAGGAGAAGGCGACTATTGTAAATGAGATGGTCTGTAATCGTCAAGTTCAAACTTTGGTTTCATGAGGAAGACACACATGAACAAAACCAACCAACCAAACAAACAAACAAAAACCCAACACATCCAGGCGAGCGAAAACAAACGCTCTTGCAGGTTCTGGAGGTATTATGTTTCATTCATTCCCGGTTTGTCAATAGGTGGGGAAAAAATGCAACAACAAGTTCAGCCAGTCAGAATGCAGGAATTACAACAAACAAAGCGAAACGTTAATTATATGAGATTACACTGTCGTGCGATCCGTTACGAACGCCACGATTGGCAATTCGTTGCTGATCGTGGAACCTCTCTGAAATTTCAGGTTTGGATACGAGGTGATGCGAGTCGATACGTTCTGACGCGGTTTGTTGCGCTTGGATGCGATATTATCACGACTGGACAATTCTCCCGTTCACTTACGATCACATACGTTGTGATAGGATTGTCTCGATCGAGTCCACGATTGGATCTCGATATGACACGATCATCACGATCGGGGTCCCCGATTCGGGACGATCTAGTACGTACAGGTACGTTGCGATACGTTCATCACGAACCGATGTACTCTGTTGCGATAGGATACGATTGTGGTCGCGATGTCTTTCACGATCACGATCGAGGGCGATCACGATTTGAGCTACTTTTGGACCCCGACGGGTATATATACAGCCCGACTGACTCTGGACTTAATTGTTTCTTGAACTTCTACAGAATGAACACTACAACCCACAACCATTGATGATGTCAGTAGTTGAAGATGATGCCAACGTGACATTTGCATTACTGTATGCTTACATTATCGCCAGAGAGGAAGAAGACGAGTAGCAGCCAGACCAGCTACAACTCCAACCACAAACGGCCAGGAGAGTTGCAGTAGGGCACTTCTGGGCGCGACCATGGCTCTGAGAGGAGAGGAGACAACAGTTTGGTCAGTTCTCCAGCCTCCTAGACACCCATTTGAGGCCGGAGGATCCAGTAGCGTTCCCAAACTACACAAGGTTAGGAAAACGGCTCTTCGATGAAGTCTTGCAGAGGGTGGCCCCAGCATACTACTGTGTGAATAGATGCGCTATAAAAATGCACATATTATTCAGGTGTGAAGTGTCAACCATCTCAGAGATGGTTCCAGAAGTGTGCCAGGCAATTGGGCAAGCCTACAAAGATGAAGTGTTTATCCCTGAAGCCTGGACAGTCTTAGCTAACCAGTTTGAGTAGAGATGGAATATCCCCCACGCCATTGGGGCCCTGGGTGGCAAACACATTGATATCAAGAAGCCACCCCAAACTGGCAGCCTGTACTTAAATTACAATGGCTTCTTTTCTATACCACTCCTAGCTCTGGTGGATGCAGATTACAAATTTGTGTGGATCGAGCTTGGTGGAAAAGGACACATGCTTCTCTAGTGGGATGCTCTCATCTGCCTCCACAGGTGTAGGCTCTGGATGGACTGGTTCAGGTTCGGGGGGTGGGGTAGCCTTGCCCTTTCCCTCTTGCCTCTGGTACCCTTGGGTGGCATCTTTCAAAGGCTCCAAAAATACTAACAAAAGCAGGATCACAGATGTGCTCTCTTCAAGGGTAGATCGCTAAATAAGGCGCACTAATTCTGATTTCCGGTATATGTTTGGGCGCAAGAACTCAACAGAAAGTGAGCGTCCGTAAAAAAGCGTCAATATACTCGCATTAACTCGTATCTTCCCGTGAGTCATTCGTGTCAGGTCGTGGGCAATAGAATCCGACAGAGCGTCAGAGATCGTGGGAGCGCAACACCTCTCAATGATTTGGAAGCACGATTAGATGCAAAATGTTGCGCTTTGTTACGTTGCAATACGATCGGATGCGATGATCACGATTGACAATTAATCGTGTTGATCGTAGAATTTTTTTTAACCATCCAATATGTTTCTTTGATCAACACGATTGCCACGACTGACCTCAAGATCTGATAAGATCTGATAGGATCACCACGATCCGTGATAGTGTGAACATAGCAACACCGAAAACCTTCGCTATTTTCATCTATTTTTAACGTGTCTTTGGTGTCCTCAGATATACATTTATACGGTTTGTACTTGTAATCATATTTATTATTCACGTAGTAAATAACATTTACTACAAACCGTAGTATTGTGTTGGGTACGTGTTGTACGTTACCCGCGCTCTTTGGCGAGCTATAACATTGTCCGTCCACCACAACCAAGATGGTACCATTGCTGATGGTACCAACAGCAATGGTACGGCTTATTTTGTTAATCACCATCCAACTGAGTATGTTTTCTCATCTATTCATTGTACTCCAATTGTAGGTTATTATTTTGAATGAATAACTACCATCATATTCGGCAACAGCTACGCAGAAAAAATGTTGGTGTGTTCTCAGCTCTGTGCCATTTTCCTGCTTCATTCCTCTTAGAACAGAACACGTGCAACAAAATGTTGGAATGTTATTCACGGAACTCAAATATCAGCGTAACTCCATTTCGGTCGTTCAATGTACGTGTTTCACAAGAAGCACACTGCTACAGCACGCTCGTCTGAGATGTGCAGCAACATTATCTGGTGTTGCCTTTGATTTCTTCTTTATGTCAACACCACAAATGGAATTGTCTTATGGATGGTTTCTAATTTAACTGTCTTCTTTTCACACTGACAAAACATGGCGGCGGTGACGTGGACTGACATTTGACTCACCACCTTGTTCATGAACTGAACAGTACCCTTTAAACTAGTTATTTTGAGCTGGGTTACTCGTTATTTGGAAGGGCGTTTGTCATTCTTTGACCGAACTACCTTGAACCCCAGAACTATCTTGCAATACAGTTGTAATTCCATCCTATATCAACACGTCATAAAGTCAGTATGAGGTTCTTGAGAGACATGTATAAGTTGGTATTCAAGTATAAGACAAAAAATTGTAGATGTCAACTTCTTCTTTATTGTATACACAATTTTTCAGGGCTTTTTCCTTGCCCCTTCGTCAGGTGACTATATGTCAGTATGAGTTGAAATGAAGTCAACGGTGTTTCCAAATTCACCAAAAGGTCTTATACTTTAGATAAAAAATAAATTTGGTTGTCATCTTTCGGTGAAATGCGCAGCGCTGAATTCGAGAGGGAATATTTTGTTTTTTGGAGATGAGTTTAAGGTGTCGTACGGGAATCTATACTCATTGGTGGTAACAAGTAACATTATTTTCAGCATTGTAAATTATCTTCTGGCTCATGATTTCCGGATGACGTGACAATTTAGAAAATGGTATTCCACATATTATAGACACATTAAATGTAGCTCAACGGAAAACATAAACTGTTACAATTCGATTCGTGTGAAAAAACGATTTTCCCTTCATCAATATCATCTATTATGCAAAACGCAACCGCTGACAGAACAAAATGAACTGTTTTCTTCTTGGCATCAAGAGTTAAGGTTGTTTTCGTTTACTGCCTAGCAACGCCCATCCCAAACAAAGTACAATTCCCTTGCAGTAAATGTCATTGTGTTCGTTTGTAGTTAATATATCCACGCACTACCAAGGTGGAAGGCTACCTTCTGGAAAACACCGCTATGTTTCAGCTACTCTTCAGCTATTAAAAGACCAGACATATGTTTGTAAATGTTTGTAAAATCTTCAATAGCTCAATAGTTTGCATTGACCTACAGCCATCAGAATGAGTTGCCCTGACTGTATTTGCTGAACCTATTTCACAACGAAGCATACGACATTATGGATAACAACTTCTTTTTTATTCTTTTTGCATAAAGCAACGTTTCGGTGTTGGTTCTGACACCTATATTTGCTAAAAACAAGAAGTGGTTATTCATAAAGTCGTATACTTCATTATTGACTCACCATGC